TATGGTACGTATTATGATTATGAACTGTTTTTTGACTATTTTAAAGCAACATATATAATAAGACTAAATAATAACAGCTGTTCGGTAAGTTCTTTTTTTTTTTTTTTTTTTCTTTATTTTTGTGATTTTTAGCCGTAGGCTAGTTCATCACATTTGATAATCGAGGGTCAGGCTTAGGGCCTGCCTCGAAAGAAAGCGTTTCAGTCTATCATTACATAACGTACAACTGGCTCTGATTACCCACCAAAAGGGACAGACAACATTTTAAAAAACTTAATGTAAAGTGGGAGTTACAACGGGACTGTGGTGAGGAATGGATGCGCGAACAAGGTAGAGCTCCACCGTAAGAGACAGTGCCCCAGTCCGGCAGAGATACCCCGACGGCAGGAAAATAGGAAGGTGAAAGAACACGGACAGCGCAGCCCACGACGAGAGGGCTAGATTTGGTTGTATAGGTGAGCGTCCTTCAAGAATGCAATCAGCGCAGTCAACGTCGAGGGGTCGTTGCCAAGTAGCTCCCTGATGCTCTCTGGGAGTCGGTGTTGTTCGCGTAGCCTCTGAAACTCTGGGCAGACACACAGCACGTGTTCCACCGAGGCAGGGATGCTGCAGATTGGACAAACCTTGTGGAAGGGTGTCCCACCAAAATTGTGGGAAATCCTCGCATGGCCGGTCCGGAGTCTTGAGATAATCCGCTGGTCTTTGTACTTGTGGCTGTCTTGCCAAGGTCGTACGGTTTCTTTGATTTTTCTCAGGAGGGTGGTGCGTGACTGAAACCATTCCTCCTGCCAGGCTTCCATGATGATAATCGCAATCCAACGCCTGACGTCTAGGAGTGGTACGTTCCTGGTGAGGCGGGGTCCGGATGGACCAGATCCCGCCAGCCTGTCCGCTGCCTCGTTTCCAGGAACACCGCAGTGCCCGGGAATCCACGTAAAAACGGTTGAGGGTGGGGCAAAACGTGTAATGGCTTGTATCCAGGGGTGGCTCGGGGCTTCGGCTTCCAGCGCCTGGATGACGCTGTGTGAGTCCGTTAGCACAAGGATCGGTTGATCTGCAGGAGTGATGGCTGCGTCAAGAACAGCAGCGGCTTCTGCGGAAAAAACGGAACACTCCTCCGGAAGACTTTGACTTGTTGCGGTGTTTGGTCCTGCCACTCCGAGTCCCACTCCGGCCCGTGATCGCGATCCGTCCGTAAAGCGATGAACGTGCCCCGGATAAACCGACCTAAGAAGTTCTGCAACGGAGCGCCTCAACGCTACAGAGTTATCTCCGGCTTGGAATCCTCTCTTAATCCGCTTATCTATTTTTATAACGTTTGATCGCCAACTTTTCTCTCCATGCCAGTGGACCCTGGCCACCGGGGGGAGGTCTACGTTGGCTGCAGTGCGGAGGGCTCTGTTCCCCTCGTTGAGGAGAAAGACCCTATCGTTCCCGGATGTCTTAGCAGCGAGGGCAGCGGCTTTGGTGGCAGAGGCTGCAGCAGATCGATAGCGGAAAGGGAGGATTCCGGTTTCTGCACAAGCGGCGTCTGCGGGCGTGGAAGGTAGGAGGCCGGATACGATGCGTACGTAGGTATTGTATACCGGAGCGAGGATGCGGTTCAGCTTCTCGGTGGCTAAGCAGGTAATTTCGAGGCCGTAGAAAAGTCGACTGTCGATAACAGCCCGGGCGACACGAAGGCGGATCTCGCGGTTACTGGAGCGGTGCGGACGGGAGATTGTCCTGACGATGTTGATGCGGCTACGGCAGTTTTCTTTCACCGTTCTGAAGTGTTGGTCGAAACTTAGAGTCCGATCCAGAACTACCCCCAGAACGCGGACTGTTTTCTTAAGCGGAATTGGATGGTCCTGGATGGTGATCGGTGGTCCCCGAATCAGATGACCCGAGTGGCAGATATGGCACCGTACACTCTTTGGTGCGGAGAGCTGAAAACCAACAGAAAGCGCCCACCTGCTGACGGCGGAGACAGCTGCTTGGGCTATATTCCTGGTCCGTATAGTCGTTCGTCCCGTTACGACGATGAGTATGTCATCGGCATAGACGATTACGTGCACGTTCTTGGGCAGTCGGCTGAACACCCCGTTCATTGCCACCAGGAATAGCGTTACCGCTATGACGGATCCCTGGGGCACTCCAGTTTCCTCGGGGAACGGATCCGATCGAGTGTTCCCGACAGTCACCTGGAAGGTACGATCAAGGAGGAAATTCCGTACAAAATGTGTGATGTGGCCTTTCAGGCCCCAGCCGATGAGCTGCCTGATGACGCCGGGCGTCCAAGTCCTGTTGAACGCCTTTGAAATATCAAGGGATACTAACTCCGCATGGTGACCGTTGTCCTGGGCTTCCTTGAGTACATTTCCGAGGGCTGCAAAGTAAGTGGAGGAGCCGTGTCCTTGTCGGAATGCATGCTGCCGTTCGTCAAGGAGACTGTTTGACTCCAGGAACTGCCTAAGTCGACGATTTACCATTCTCTCCATCACTTTTGCCGCGCAGCAAGTGAGCGCAATCGGCCTAAAGGAGGAGGCTTCTCCACTCGCCGCGTTGATCTTTGGAATGGGCACTACCAGGCTTTGTTTCCAGAGGTCCGGGTACGAGTCAGTGAGCCATAGGTCGTTGAAGAGAGCGAGTAGCCTCGTTTTTCCGTCGAGGGAGAGGTTTTTTAACACCGGGTATCCAATCTCGTCCGGCCCGGCAGATTTACCAGTACTGCTGCCGAGGGCGAACTGAAGCTCCCGGAAGGTAAGAGCATCGTTGATCTGGAGGGAAGGGACATCGGATGGGTAAGTTCTGATCGTTTCTCATTTATTTTTATTTGTAATAATAGATTTTCCCTTTTTCTAGCCTTAAACATATGCTTATGTTCGACATTTTTTCATTTGTTACTTTTTTACGTTTTCACTTTATTTCGATGGTCCATGTACCGGGACCTTGAATGGGATATTTATCTTTTCAAATCTCGTGATTTTAAACAGCAAAATGCTTTTTAAGTTTTGACTTCGTAATTTTTGAAATAGGAATAAAATTAAAAAAAAAAATGACATAAACGGACTGATCGCGCACGGGCGGGATGCCTACGTTGTGTTGATTTTTGTGATAATTACGAAGACGGATAGAATTAAAACGCACCGATTGCTTCGCCGTCCTGCCAAGACACTGTTTTATTGTATTGTATATGGTTTTCTAGAATCGTACAGGGTAGGGTAGTGGCACAAATAATCGACGATGCACGAAATAATCGACGATTTTTAAGATCAAATTTATGCAATTTAGTGTATGGCAAGCATTTGTATAGCCAAAATACATGTATACAGATAAATACAGACATATTTTTGACACTCATACAAACTTTTGAAAAAATCATCTGGCATCCCTGCGTGTGCTTGAGCCCATGAGCGTGCTTGCGTTCTCCGCAGTTTTGGAAGATCCTGGATAGTTTGTATAGCTTTCCATCATTAAATTATACAAACAATAAATTTGTTGACACTTCTATAAAACCATTAAAAGTATGGGCATCTCAAGAAACTAATGATGAATGCACTATTTAGAACATAAACTTCTTAGCATCTTGTTCAACTCCTTAGCAAGATAAACGTATTCCTAAAGGAGATTGTGCTTAATCATTTTGAGTCCGACCATAGATTTATGGCTGACATGCTGTGGACAAAATATCAATACGTCACACGATCGTTGAACGTGGGTTTTGATGATTTCAAGAAATACTTTGGAAGAGTTGACATGCACATGCAAATTTCTTCTGTACGGAGTTGATCTTTATAGTATGTATTATTATATTATATAAGGGGCTTTTCATGAAACACGCAGACACTAGAGATGGTCTAGTATAAGAGAGGAGCTTACTAGCTGGGTTTGAGCCAAACGAACTGTCAAAGCCAGAGTCAATCGAGTAGCGCCTATCTGGATTGCATTGGCAGTGTTGCTAGAAACTACCCAGGCATAGGTTGCCAAGGCAGTTTGGGGCGAGTGTCTACGTTAGTGTCTAATATTGCATTCTTTGAAATTAGAAACTGGCGTTTTAATATGAAATACCGTTTTTCTTAATATTTATCAACATTAAATAAAACTGCCAGTTCCTAAAATGGTTCATAGTGTTTCCTGTTTCCGTAATTTGTGTGAACAACTCGATTCGTTAATGATAAATTCAGTCGAAAAAATCTTTGTGGGACAGTTATGCGTAGACAATTAGGCTTGATGTTGTTTTTATACAAACCCAGAACAAACAATATGTTTTTCTATTTTCAATCCAAAGTCTACCTAAAAAAGTACTGTTTTATGAACAAAAGTGAAAAACGCCCAAAAGTAACATGGGACAGATATGCGTAGAACGACAGCTGAATGTGATTGCAAAAACCACTATGGTTCTAATTTTTAAGCATTTCCGGCAAATTTGAAAACCCTAATTCCAACCAATTCGGTATTATCATAAAGTTAACTCCTTGTTCTTGTTTGCTTCCTTTTTTCTCTACTGAGATGCTTGCTCTTCCGAGAATAAAAGTTTTTTTTATGGTATTCATTATTCAGACGATTTCATTAGGCTCCATTAAAAGCTCTCTTTAATTATACCGACACAATTTCTATTGAAAATATTAATGGTCGCAACGTAAACCGCATTGTACTCCAGGCTGACATTTCAATTCACGTTCTTATTTGTAATCTCGAATCGAGGTTCAGAGACGGCGAATAATTATTTCCACAGCTCTGCATCCAAGACTCTTCAGCTGCACTTCAGCTGCACCATTCATGCTGGTCCCGATCCTTCTCCGCATACCTGCCTCCGGAGATTATAATTAATGTTGGATAATTATTTTCCTTATTTTCTTTCCATTTATATTTTCATGGTTCCGGATGACTTCGTTCAATGTTGGATGTAACCACGACACTGATGACGTTGACGACGGTTTTTAACCTGGGTGCTCGGGCTAACTAACTGCCATATACCATCACGTTCACTCCATCCACCTGTCGGCACCACCTTCCAGACCGTTGGAGGTAGAAATCGGCGGCAGACGACAGGGAATTACCAAGAAGAAGCTCGGTACACCTGCAGCCCGACTCAAGATATCGAAAATTGAATTATTCTCAACATTCGTTTCGTTGCGGAACGCGCTGCGGATCGGTGTCGACGGCGACGGGGTGGCAGCCGAATCAAGCAACGCTGACGTGCAGAAGAATTTATCACCACCCACAGGGGGACACTGTCAAGATACTGCTGGTGGTGAGGAGGGTGAGATAGACGCATCTACTAGCGGTGCTCGTGAGGATCTCAGCAGCTTACGGTATGCTGACGCTAAGGAGCTTTGCCGGTCGTACCGTGAACAGTGGAATACACTGCGAACCAGGGTATTTCGAGTGTGGAGTGAGAAACCGAGCTGCTTGCTAGATTTTACCCTCAATTCGCAAGGCTCTGTTTAGCAGAATGATGTTCGAGGTTCCTTTGTTGTTTTTTTTTGTTTCTTGAATATACAAAATATGGCATAAATGTTTGAACGTGCTCTTTATTGTTTGAAATATGTATTGAAGCACCCCTGCTCAGTATGCCTTCTGTTATTTAAATTGCTTAAGGTGATTTCTCTTAGAGTTCACAAATGGCCACCACGTAGGCTATACATGCACTTACACTTCGAATTTTCAATTACTCACATCTCGGTAATTAATGCCCTATTTCACCTGAAATTGCTACTTTATGTATGCTGCGTAGAAGCTGATATTTGTGCACTTAAAATTTCGAAGTGGTTACGAAAATAAGGATCTCATAGCGAAACACCTTCTATGTAGGCTATTCTTACACTTTCCGGATTTTTTTTTCTCGTTTTGGTGTTTATATTAACTTAGCCTGTCGTGAGTCATCGAGCTTGAAGTGCTACGATCAAAACTCGGTGGTAAACTAGATATTATGGTTCCATAGATTTATTGATGGAACCTTTAACCTCTTATATCAATCAAACTAATAGCAATTTTTGATCTTCTGTTCCCCAATTTTAATAGTAACACTTGGTATTTATTTGATATTCTCGTCTAGTTGGGTATACTCAGTCTCCAATACACACACTTAGATTATTAGACAGGAGTCAGTATTTTTTTACTGGCTTTTTGAATTGCTGAAAAAGTCGGTAAAAATTCAAATGACCGTTATTCGTAAGGAAACAATGAAATCTACAATTTTTTTTCTATCATTAAATGGGGTTAACAGAACTTAGCCTGTACTAGTTTGGAATAAGCTTTCTAATTTTTGAATTTTACACAGATTTTTAAACTTTTACCGAACTTTACTGACTGAATAAGTGTGCAGCAAAGATCATGCTCTACACACTGAGTTTAATTACCGAAGTCGGTAAAATTTTACTGGGTTTTTAACAGCTAAGTTTTCAGTAATCAACCCACAAGTGTTTTGCCGGTACTGAAAACTCCGTAAATAGCACAAACCGTCAACTGTCAAAAAGTGCCGGTTTAGTCAATAAAGAACTGCTGACTTTTTCAGTAATTTATTTGTTTACCTTATTTTTGGCTGAACTTTTCAGTATTATGTTTTTTTTGACGAAAAAGTTAGTAAATTATTCCAAAAGGCTGATTTATCGGTGAATAAAAATACGATTTCGAGATGACAAATCAACAAATTTCCGGGCTTTTTTAGTTTTTATTGTTACTGCATTTATGCAGCAGTTGTGTGTGTACACGGCGAATGAGAACGACCTAAATTTGCGTTTAGTTCACTCATAATCGCCAAAAGTGCAGGAACTCAGCGATGAGTAAATTTGTCTCATGGTTTCCTGTGGAAAACCTAAAAAATCTGCCGGAAAATGAGGGAATTGACGAAAATTGTATTCAGTCCGGAGTAGTACCAATAGACTGAGTGAATCCAATCTTTACTTTTCTCAAATGCGGGAATTTTTCCCTGGAAAATCCTGGAAAAACCTGGGAAAACATGAGACAAATTTTACTCATCGCTGAGTTCCTGCACTTTTGGCGATTATGAGTGAACTAAACTCAAATTTGGGTCGTTCTCATTCGTCGTGTAGGTATGTAGCAGCAGCGCTCAATTGTTGAGCTAATGCAAGTTACGAAGAAATTGTTCTCCCCCCTCCCCCCATCATCGTCGCCATTAAAAAAAAACAAAAAACTGTTTGTCAGTTGGCTTAATTCCAGCTTTCAAAATCGCAATTGATTGGCAGAGCAACTCAAAACTATATGAAAAATCTTTGTTGATGGGAATGGTGATGCCTTTCCATGAAATTACTGCATCAGAGTTGTCCTCTGGAAAATTTCCTCTCATGTAGAGTATGGGGTTGTCGCTTTTGACCATCGGGATCGGTTCATGATGCTGAAAAAAATGTATTTTCGAATGGGTAAAATATAAAAATAGGTATGTACCTCATAATTGAGTAAAACCATAGAAATGGAACAAAATCCAGTAATAATGATAACATTTTTGAAAACACAAATGTGAATAGTTACCTGGATCCGTTCGACGATGCCACTTAGTGGATTGTTGTCATCAGTGCCATTTCTGGTCCGCTTCATTCCAAGACTTGGCACTTACTACAAAAGTGCGAAACGCCATTGGGCGCCGAGGTAGTGGTACCAGTTAAACAAATTCTATATAAGCGCCGTTTAATTGCCATTTTGGCTATTCAAACAAACGGTGTTCTATAATATCTGAGAGTTACATTTAATTATCTGTGCCAGGCTTTGAAATGATCAGCTAACATGCTACTTTTCGAAATAATGAAACTATGAGATATAATAATAATAATATTTTTTAAATGTAAGATGCAAGAAGAGGAGGTAAAGTTCGTGTATGACACATAAGAGCTGGCACTTTCGCTTCCAAATTGTCACAATTAGCGATTAGCTATAACGAAGAGTACTCACTTGTCGCGAATGCTCATTACAGCTTAAATAACTAATTGTGACCCTTTGAAAGTAAAATTGAAAGGTTTTATGTGTCATACCCCAATTTTACCTCCTCTTCTTCCATCTTACATAGGGGAAAACCAACTTCGGCCTAATCGCCCATTCCCGGCTTATCGAGCACAAAACATCAAATATATCTATGATTTCGGCGTGAACGTGTCAAACAAATGTTTGGTACAATGCTCCCATTCAATAGCTGCAAGACGAAGTGTTGAAGAACGCAACGAAAACAAAAGGCGCACTTGAAGTGTAAAAAAGGCGCACGCGAATTCACTTTTCTTTCCGTTCGATAGGCTAAAAAGAATCCCAATGACGTTTCAATGGCTAATAGGCCCAAGAAAACCCGTAGGCCAAGTTGAGCCGCCAGAAGCTGTTTTGATGTTTTTGTCTATGATGTAGGGGAATTTACGTATTATCGTCAATCTAAGCAGCGTCCGCACTTCTATTAGCATTTTTTCAGCGTCCCGCACATATATGACGTGTCTGTTTGTTTACATTCATCTGCTACTTGCTTCTCTATCCATTCCAATCGACAGAATTTTTCAAAACGGTTTGAAAGCTTTTTTACAACGCTTCAAACTTCACAGGTGAGTGTGACTATTGTCGGCAGTCTCTTTTTCTTCGGCAACCTTCCCATTAGAACTGCGTGTTAATCAGCTGTTCTATTATCGGCAACTCGAAATCAGCCCAATTTTGTAGTGCGTATGCTTCATTTGAAGAAAAATCTGGCATAATAGGATTTCTCGGTCGTACAAATATAATCAGATTGAAGCTGAAAGACTAAATAATCGTTTGGATACATTCAGGGAAGGGTGTTGATGGGAAAACATAGTGAAATTATCGTTTAAATTTTGGTTGCCGAAAACAGTCAATGTGTGCCGAAGCCGACATTTACCCTATTTAGCCATATTTTATGGGTGTGCATTGCGTATTTTGGATATCAAATGAAAACGGTTACTTTTCTGTGGACATGGATCGTTCCCGTCTTTCAACCGCCACCTGCGCATTGGTGGACGGATTCAACTTGCATGGATTATCGCAGCTCAACCAGATTGCAAATTCAAAAGGCCGCATCCTCGATCTAATACTTGCAAATGACATCGCTTTGCCTAATTGTACGGTTTCAGAAGCCATCGAACCACTGACTTCTATTGATATTCATCATCCAGCCATAGAGGTTGCATTATCCCATACGGTCGCAGTTTCATACGAAGCGGTGCATGATAACACCAGTTTCAATTTCCGAAAGGCTGATTTTGCTGCGATGAATCAAGCTCTACTTGCTATCGATTTGAGTTACCTTAATTCATTCCAGAACTTGGATGATGCTGTGGATTTTTTCACGAACGCTGTAAGCAGTATTATCGCTGAACATGTACCTCTTGCTGGAGCTGCACAGAAACCACCCTGGTCAACCAATCGCTTGCGAATGCTTAAACGCCACCGTTCTTCGGCCCTTCGAAAATATTGCAGCAGTCGTTCGTTGCACTTAAAACTACAGTTCAATCGTGCAAGCCGAGCATACAGGAACCACAACCGTTTCTTGTACGCTCGGTACATAGTTCGGATGCAGCGCAACCTACGTACCAACCCGAAGCAATTTTGGTCGTTTGTCAAATCTAAACGTAACGAAGAGGGTCTTCCTTCGTCAATGTATCTAGGAAATCTCTCTGCTGACTCAACTGCTGAAAAATGTGAACTCTTTGCATCCCAATTCAAAGTGTCCTTCAATAATTTCGCTGCGCAACCTGCTCAAGTTGAAGAGGCAGTTCGAGATACTCCACAGGACGTCTTGGACTTCGACAATTTCTACATCGATGAAAATGAGGTTGCGAGGGCAATAAGTAAACTGAAATTCTCGCTATCTGTTGGACCTGACGGAATTCCTTCAGCGATGCTGAAAAGATGTACTTCTGCGCTATGTCAACCTTTGATGAAACTCTTCAACCTTTCGTTTCAACAAGGAGTGTTTCCCTCGAATTGGAAATCATCATTCTTGTTTCCAGTTTTCAAAAAGGGGGATAAACGAGATGTCAGCAATTACCGTGGCATAACCTCCTTGTGTGCATGTTCAAAGGTATTTGAAATCATCGTGAACGACGTTCTTTTTGCCCGCTCTAAACATTTCGGTTGATCAGCATGGATTCTATCCAAAAAGGTCGGTTGCTACAAACCTTGCTGAATTTACCTCTCTGTGCATTCAAGCAGCCGATTCTGGGAAGCAGGTGGACGCTGTCTACATGGACCTGAAGGCTGCTTTCGATCGGGTTGATCATAACATCCTTCTGAAGAAGCTGGAGAAGATTGGTGTAACGTCTGCTTCAGTGGATTGGTTCAGGTCGTACCTAACCAACAGATCCTTGTGTGTAAAAATCGGTTCAAGTCAATCGGAGATGTTCGTTAATCAATCTGGCGTACCACAAGGGAGCAACCTGGGACCACTGTTGTTCTCCTTGTTTATCAAATGTGTGTCACTGATTCTGCCACCGGGAGTGCGACTTTTCTATGCTGATGATGCTAAAGTCTACGTCATTGTTAACAGCTTTGAA